ATATATATATATATATATATATATATATATATATATATAGCATCACACAGAAAAAAAAATGAATCACAATTCAATAAAAAATAATATGTTTTTGATCATCATACACATAAACTGGTATGTCATACACAGGTATATGACATTGTAATCAAATATTTATAATGTGGGATTTAGTTTTTCAGTTCTCATATCAAGTCATATTGAGGTGTTTCTGTTTGTTAAATGTATACAGAATGAGCATTTTCAGATACAGTAGTCAATTAAGCTACATAATCATGAAATGTTTTGGCATCTCCATTTAATTTTAATTTTGATAGGTAATGGGAAAGAGGAATACTTTTCAAGCAAATCATTTTACAAAAATACATTTTACATTATAAAACAATAAACTGTTCAAATATATATTCACATTTTTGGTTGTCATGTACATGCACAAAAAAAGCACAAAACAATCATCAGTTCTTGACATAAGAGACATGGATGTGGATTTGATGTGGTTCAGTACTTCCTACTTATTCAGATACACAGAGAAACTATTATTTTTCATACATGTTTCTACTGAAAAAAACAGCATCATAAAAGGTATTTTAGTCCTCCATTTGCTAATTAATGATTAATTTATACACCACAATTGTATTGTCACATGTCCAGTATACTGTATATTACATGGCTGAAATATACATTTTACCTTCCAATGTTTGAATTTGATAAATGTATTCAGTTTTTAGTTCAGTTAAATTAAATGAATTATATACTCCACATTTGTTTTATGTATATATATATGAATAGACACATCTTTCATTATTGAACTAAGTTCACTATAATATAATATAATAATAGAAGCTCTAAGGCTAGTTCGCACTGCCCCTACAAACACTGAATTGTCTGGGTTTTGTTGGATATCTGCATGAAATGCATGACTGTTTATATCAGTGTTAAAATGAAAATTTTCCACCGTTATTAATCTAGCAGTCAACTTTAGGCCCTGGAGATTGCTGAGCCATCTTGTGCTTTTTTACAAACAGCATTCAACGAATTTAAATTTTAGATGCCAACATGCATTTGGGCCGTCATGCAAGAAAGCCTGAAAGCATGACTACTGTTGTATGTTGCCTTGCCTCTTTAAATGTTTTTTAAATATACCTATTTGTCTCCTGTATCACAAATGACTAAAGGAAATAAGGAGGAAATTAATTAATATATCCTCATGCCAGTTTTTCCTGTGCAAATTAAACTAATTTTAAGTTATATACACAGATAGGCAGACTGACAGATAGATGGGCAGACAGCTCTATATGGTAATCATTCAATACGCCCTAGAATGATTGAGTATATAACCTGGTATCTTCTGATTTGCATGCCTGTCTTGCTAACCTCATGATCAAGCTGTTCCTTCTGTCCTGCTCATCTTTGATAGTAAGGTCATCTTTGTCCTAGATTCTGAGGAGGATTCTGAATCAGACCAAGAGCATCTGAGGGTCTCCCATAACTTCTTTCTGAAATCCTTAGACACGTAATAAAAGATGAAAGGATCGAAGCAGCTGTTGAAGGTGCTGAAAGACAAAGTGATCTGGTATGGAACATAAAGGTCAAAGTCTGATTTGGAGTAATGCAAAAGCAAGAGAATGTTACTAGGCAATAAGCAAACCACAAAAACAATTAGCATCAGCACAGTCACTCTAATTGCATGAGCAAAACGCTGCCCTTCAGCCATAAGGGTACGTAACACTGCAGAATAGCAGAACAGCACAACCAGCAGTGGAAGCAGGAAACAGAGGGAGAAGAGAGTGGTAAAGTATGGCAGGAAGTAGTTTTTATGCTGTGCTATAGGTAGTACATCATGGCAAGTTGTTATAGGAGGGCTGATTATCTTATAGGACTGTTGTGAGGCTAACAAGGGCACAACAGCAGCTAAAACCACTATCCAAACCAAAACACTCATATAGACAGAATTCTTGTTACTTCTAAGCATCTTGGCACCAAAAGGGTGAACAAGAGCTACATAGCGATCCATGGCGATCAGTGCCAGACAAACCACTGAGCCGTACATGTTTCCATAGAAGAGCGCAATTACAACACGACAGAATGGTTCTCCAAATGTCCAGTTGTTGCCCAGGAAGTGGTAGACGATACGGAAGGGGAGCACCAGCAGTAGCAGAAGATCGCAGATGGTGAGGTTGATCAGCAAAATGGTGGATGGGAGCTTCTTAGTTCGCAAGAGCAGCACCCAGAGGGCCAACAAGTTTGTGGGAAGCCCAGTGAAAAAGGAGAAGAAGCAGAGAAGAGGAACCACTAGTGTAAAGCTGTAGCTCTGCATCTGCTCCTTATACTCCTCTGGAATAGAATCATTAATCAGAGGCAAGGCCCGAGCCCCTAAGAGGAGGAAAGACAGATTTGTCAGCCTTATTTATATCTTGTCACTTTTCCTAAGAATGGCAGAATAGATTTATTCATTCAATCACAATGTAGGACCACCCAGAAAGCAATCAAAAACTATTAGATATTGAATGTTATTTTCTTTGTGCTTGAAAAATGAATCGAGTCAGATAGACATCATTTGCTTAAAAATGAAAATTCTCTCATCATTTACTCATCATAACTAATCAATTACTGCAGGAGTTTCTTTATTTTAATTTTAAATTAAATTAGACCACTTTATGTGTATGTGTGACAAGGCCAATTGTGCATTTAAACCGTTCAGTTTAATCACCGTTCTATATTAATGCGCTGCTTTAATTGACGCACACACACACACACACACACACAAACACAGATCGCCTGGCGCACATAAAGAAACATTCAGCAGCACAGAACTTGTTGTCATCGCTGCCCTACGACCTTCATTGATAAAACAGCTTCGATACTGAATTACTACTTTATATTTCTCTGCAAGACAGGGGTAAAATCAATGTTTTTGAGAGAGATGAAAGTTGCGTGTTTGAATTACCTGCGTCTGTGTCTCTCTCAAACAGTGAAGCTAAGTTTAGTTAGCCTACTTTAGTTACAAATTTACTGGCACAGTGGTTAATCAGAAAAATTAAAAATGGCACTTCATGCCCTAAAGGTTGACGACCCCTGGTCTAAATGATGAGATGAAGTTAAAACTGACAAAATGTTATAGCCTAATTTTGAGGGAAAATTCTGACGTTTAAAAAACAATTATGACATAATAAAATTCATAATTATTACATAGTTAGTTATGACAAAATGTCAGTCAACTTTTCAATGGTCTTATCGGAATTTATACTTTTTGTCTCTCAATTATGGCTTAATTATTTTTGTCATATTTAAGATTTTTATATAGCCCAGTAATTTTGACTTCTTTGCTCATAAGTATGGCTTTTTATCTCATAATTTCGACATTTTAGCTTATAATTACGACTTAGTAGGCTATAACAGAAATTCCGACTTTTTGTCTCGTAGTAGGCTACTTCTCTCACAACTGCAAATTTGTATGGCATAATTATGTTTTTTTTTCTTCTTATGTGACGAAATGGCTTCCATAGGACATGAGGGTGAGTAAATGATGAAATCGTTTACATTTATGGGTGACCCATTCTCAAAAAACGTATTATTTATTATTTCAAAAAGATCTAAACATATCACTCTCTTGTAGCCTACTTGCAGCGGTACTGGAATAATGATAAAATGTCATGACATTTTAGGGAGGTTTATCACAAATAAAGTGTTCAAATGGTCGTGATCCCGACTGGTTGGTTATTGCCGTGATCCTGGTTCACGGCTGATGCTGGCTGGTTATTCATATCACTCCATAAAACGTCGATCATTTAAAAGAATAAAGTCATATGAACATAAATCTGCCAACCGCCAGGCAGGTCACGTTACCTGCCAGAATCAGACTGCCAGCCACGTGACCTGCAGCCAGTTCGGGATTGAACCCCTAATGAAATGTAGGCTAGATGTGTTGTTAGACTGAATCTCATGTCTGTGCATGTTACAGCTGCCGCCCACACATTTTTCTGTATGCTGTGTTGGCCTACATTATATTCGAACTACCTTATGTGAAAATCAAGGGAGATTTGTAGTTTAAGCAATAATTCATAGTTTATTCTTTCTGATTCTTATTCTAATGGCGCTTACTGTGCGTATTTAGCTAGATTACTGTACGCATTTTTTATTTTCTGTTATATGTTTTTGACAAAAGGACGTACTTTTCATATGAAAACTAAAGTAACATACACTTAAAACTGGATGTTGGTGTTAACCTTAAAGTTATGAATATAATGAGAATCATACTTACTTTGATTGATTGGCTTGTTGTTTGAGCTGTTCACCTCTGAAGTTGATGAGACGTGAAGAAAAATGAGGAGACAGAGAAAAGGCACTGGAGTAAATACAAAAAATGTCATGGCGCTGAAACCTCAAGTTTCTTTAAATAAAAGTTTTAAGTATTTTTAAAAGGTTTAAAGGTGAAATCCCTCCCCTGTCTAGATTATTTTCTAGCGGTGTGCTATTCGGTTTTTCAGGTGAGAAGAACCGGTCCACTGCGCTTCTTTACCGTTTATCCTCTATTTTTCCGCTTAGCGTTTGTCTCTTGGTATGTTAAACAGAAAGTTGTTTTAATAGTTTTCTTATCTTGTGTGGTTTCTCATTCCGCCCCCTCGTGAGTTTAGACCAATCAATGAGATCTCTGTTCCACTCTCTGTGTCTGTAAAGATGTTAAACAGATTTGAGTCGCTGCCTCAATGTTTACATATTCTCTCCTGCTTTAGGCTACTTCATATGGGTATAATTCAGGTTGTTTGAAATTATAATAATCATATCAAAATTATTATGATAAGATAACTGACTACTTTTTTTTGTATATGGGTCAGTGTTAGAATTAAAAAGCCAAAGGCTAATTTACGGTGAGAGACGCTGGAGATGTTTCGTTATGTTTATGAGTAATGATTTTTGTATAGGCATAACTTATATAACGTGTGCCTGCATTTATATTTAAGGCCTTTAGTGGGAAATGTTACTGTAACACAGCCTAACAACATTCTGGAATGTCTCATAACCGCACCTGTGTACCAAACAGGAAGAGATAGGATAGGGAGGAAATAAAAGTGGGAAAATGTCGGTTTTTGGTGTTGGAACCGAGTTTTCATCTCAATGATCACAATCTGAAAGGTATGGGTGATGTAATTTTATTGAAATGTAGATTCAAACATTGAGCGCTAGATGGCGCAGTTGTTGCACTCTTGACATGCAAGATTGGCGTTATTATTGCCTATAAATTATATAGGCATATATATATATATATTATTGCCTATAAATTA